CTGAGAGAGCAGGCGGGGGATAGGGCCTAGTGGGAGTCCCCCCATGGTCCCCTCCCCCACCCCCTACTTACCAGCTCCGAGTCTGGCTCCAGCTCCCTGCTGCAGCAGGCAGGGGCTGGCCGAATTGTCAAAGCTCTCCAAACCAAATCTTTTCCAAATTAATTTGGAGAGCTTGAATCAATTTGGACCTTTTAATTGGTCCCCTGATTCGATTCGGATTTGGAGATTCAGCCACTGATTTGGGCCAAATCTCCTCCGAATCGAATCAGCACTCAAAGCTTCACACAGCCCTACTGTAAGTTTTTCCAAGAAGCCAAAGTTTGTTCAAGTCATTTTAAATATGGCTTAAAAACAGTTTTAGCATGTATTTAACAGTGCTTGCTTAGTCAGCCAGGACAAAGCAAAACCAATTGTCTAATACTTTCCCTAATACTGCCTAGATAAAATGAGTTCTGCCCTGCCTATAATGACCAGAAAAAATAACAGTGTACCCTTAATGCCAGAAATGACTTCTAAATACATATTGCTTAAAAGCAGTCTGAAACTAAATGGTAAAACACAAGTATAGAAAGGACTCCAGTAAACATTAAGGGCTCTAGGCAGGAAATGCGAGAAAGCTGGGAGACAAAAGCAGTTTATTTTGCCCAGTAATAATACTAGAATCTCTCATTCACTGGCAAGAGAAATAAAAGTTTTCCAGTCTATTACTTATTTCTTTCAGGACTAACTTGAGGGAAAAAAGAAATTATCTGCCATGACAATAGCTCTGAATGTCATGGCAGATCTTATCAAAGATAAGATGACCCTGAGTAATGATGACAATGATCATACCCAATCAGTAAGTGGACAATATAACCAGGTTAGTGCAAGTTTCTGAAGTATGTCAGGTATCCAGGTTGTAGCCGTATTGGTCTAGAGGAAAAGGCAATCAGGACTCATAGTAGAGATGATCCCTTTTATTAGACCAACAAGATTTTTGCAAAAAAAATTTCTTTAATTGCAAGCTTTTGGGCACAAACACCTTTCATCAGGCATGATGAAGCTATGAACTGACTGCCCATCTATTAACTTCTCTGTGAAATCCTATGAAACATGAACATTCATTTCTACCCAAAAGAACTTTTGCAATCTTTTCTCCAATGCCTGATGAAGGGTGTGCCCCTGAAAGCTTGCAATTAAAGAACATTTTTTGCAAAAATCTTGTTGGTCTAATAAAAGAGATCATCTCTGCTACAAGTCCTGATTGCCTGAAGTTTGCCAGCCATCTAGTTTCCCAAAATTATTTATTAAAAAAAAATATTTCCTAGCTTAACAGAAAAACTGTAACTACTGAAACAAATAGGACTAAGCAGTTCTGAAGACCAAATGCCATGTATCTTAAGAGTGGAAGATACTCATTATGTGAAGGATAGTTGTTAAATTTTTGAGTTCACAGACTGTAAGATTAGAGCATACTACATAATTACAGCATTCTGGAATACCACCGAATTCCAGAATTTAATATATTAACTCTTTCCACCAAGTTATAATCCAGCAAAAAAATGCTGCCTAAGTATAATGCACAATGCAGGTTTAGATAAAGGTATATGGCCATGTAAATATAAAATGCCAATATGCTGAACTGGTGTCCGTTCCTTACCTGTATGCCTTAAGTGCTTTAGTGTCACATTATCAACAGGGAAAAAGCTCAGAATAGCACCATACTCCGGACACATATTTGCTATTGTAGTTCGGTCGGCTATAGACAGCTGGGAAACTCCAGTTCCAAAAAACTCAACAAATTTTCCAGCTATCCCTGCTTGCCTGAGTTGCTGTTTGAAAGAAAACACAATAACAATCTGAGATAGGAGGAGACAGTGGCAGAGGAACATTAGGTATAACACTTCAAAATTAAGAACAATTACAAACTTTTTTATAAAGCCAAATAGAGCAGAAAACCTCATTGACTTAAATCACATTGATAAAAATGTCTTAAAATCTTCACACCTCAACAACCCCCTCTCATTCTACTGCTCAGTTCTGCAGAATCAGTTCAAATATAATTTTTAAGAAACACTTCTGAAAAACTCAAGAAAGCATAAGTAATATGAATTTTAATTCAACAGCAAAAGCATGAGCAATTTGGAGAACTGTAATGTTGCAATCTGTACTGTAACGTGGGAAAAGTCTAATTAGAATTCTATTCCCAGTCTCATGTTCCCCAGGCTGTTCCTCCTTCCCCCCTTCCTCCTCCCAAATGTGAATACAGTGAAATTTTAGAACGTGATGACCATGAAAATAATAGCATAACTGTTTTTAGAGAAGAGGTAAAGAAAAAGTATGGTTATTGCTTAGAATGAGCTATTTACTGCACAAATTTTTTAAGTAAAACATTCACCTGGAAAAAAGAAATAGTTAAGCAGTAACAGTAGTACAGGGGTGGGCAAAATGCGGCCTGGGGGCCAGAGTCTATCCAGCCAGCGGGGCCCCTAAAAAATTTAGAAAATTAACGTTAATCTGCCCTCAGCTGCCTGTCGTGCGGTCCTCAATGGCTTGCCAAAACTCAGTAAGCTGCCCTCTGCCCAAAATAATTGCCCACCCCTGAAGTAGTGACTGACATGAGACTTACTCTTTTATCCAAAATGATCCCCTCAATCAGATGAATATTCACTGTACCAAAATTCACCTCGCTGACATGATTCACCTGTGACTACAAAACCCAGGAGCGCAGCTTGAGAGAGGGCATCATCCTCCTCTCATTACACCAGCATAATTCTGACTTTAGTAAACTACCCCCAATTTCCTCCAGTATAAACAACAGAAGAATCAAGCCCAAAATTATGCAGGAATATTTTAGAGTCCAGGTGATGGATGGGTTTTGAATGAATGAACTTCCATAAATGGTAGAGCACTATAATAAGCTATACAGACCAGGGTGCCACACCTGTTTGCCCTGAGAGCCAAAGGAGTGGTGTCCAACCCAGAATGCATTGGGGGACGGAGGAGGGAGTCAGGCCCAGCCCCAACCCAGCCACTTGGGGCTTGAGAATTTAGCTGCTGGAGAGGAATGGCAGTATGAACTGTCATTGCTCCCCCACTACCAAATTTCCTGACCTATGAGCCCCATGGGTCAAATGCCATGGCTCCATGGGCAGGATGTGGCCCATAGGCCATGCGTTAAGCACCCCAGCAATAAAACTTCAATTCACTGAAAGGATAATTTGCTGTTATGGTTTGCCAATACTGTTCCAATTTCCTGGCAGTGGCCTCTCCCGTAATCTCACCCCTCAACGATGTAATCCTGATAACTGGTTACTATTGGATACTTCACCATTATTTGCAGCCTCTTAGAGGAGCCAATTAAGCCAAGTTTGCTTATTTGAAAAAGTATTATAAACACAGTTACATATGTAAAGCCTGCATGTGGCTAAAAGGAAAATGAAAAGTAGGTAGTTTTGTATTTAGGAATCGTTATCTATAACAGGGGTTTTCAACCTTTTTTAAGGAGTATACCCCTCCTGGGCACACTTCTGGTGGAGCGGGGGGAGGGAAAGGTAGCAGCAACCGGGCACAGAGGGCAGGGGGGAAGATAGCAATGGCCAGACATGGAGCAGGGGGCTTGCACATGGCAGTGTGGGGTGGTGGATGGTGACAGCCCCATCCCTCCCGACATCCAAGCTTCCCCCTCCCCACATGTGCAGCCGGTGCCTCTGCCACCCACAGAAGGGAGCTGCTGCCCTGCCCTCCCTCTCCCCCTGCCCTGTTCCCGAGAGGCAGCAGCACAGGGTGGTGGATGGCGGTGCTCTGTCCCCACATACTCGCGCATACCCCCTAGCTGCTTTCCAAGTACCCCCAGTTGACAATCCCTGATCTATAGCTGTGCCTGAAAGAGACATGTTTAATGATGTACCTATGTTGAGCCTGCCAGCATTTGTTTCACTGCCCCAGTAATTATTCATTAACCAAATCATCTTGGTATGAAAACAGAATGCTTTGTTACCTTTGTAATGCTTAGGACCACATCAATGGATGTAGCAAGTGGGCTGGCAGAGCCTGTCAGCTCACACCCAACCACCTCAGGCAAAGTGAAAGTAACTGGCATTCCCAGCATAACTGCTTCTGTTTCAATACCACCAACACCTAGGGGGAGAAATTAAGTTATTTCTATCATGCTAATTAACTAACACAAACATTTTAAAGCAAATATTAGAGTCTAATCAAATGCCTCCTGATGTAGGTTATAATAATCTGCACTCCATTAGAGAATACATGCATCTTATATTTATTTTAAAAAAAAGTAAAGAAAAGATGATAAAGGAGATGGGCCTTTAAAAAAAACCCAACCAAACAACACACACACACACACACACACCCCACCACTCAAACGATCACATTTTAATTTGACTGGGCTAGTGTCTCAAACCCAGGTCTGATCTTATAGGATAAACGTATATTTACCTGAACTTCACACTGCACATCAATTTAAAAGAAACAGTATTTATCAGAATGCTGTATTTTTTCCTTACATTTCTCAAAATTTAATAAACCATTTATTCCTGGTGAAGTGTTAGCCTGAAGTTTCCTTTGTCTAAAGAATAAGCATATCACTTACAACAGTCATGGAAGCTTCTTCACATTATGCCAATATGCAACTGACCACAGTAACACAAACCCTTTTCTTTTTTGGGTCTAAGGATGCCATAAGAGAACATATCTATATGTCACATAAGTATTTATATCATCATAATGTTGGAACTCAAACTGATCATGCCTTATGGAATCTTTCTAGCTAATTTTAGGAGACTTGGAAATAGATAACTAATAGTATATGAGATCATTATTTGTATGTCACTTCATTCTCCCTTTAGAAGCATTTCCCCCTAAACATAATTTCAGGATCCAAAATGCTGTCAAACTTGAGACAGCATAATATCCTATATGAAAAATATATTCAATAGTAAAACATTTCCTTTCACATAGTAAGAATATAGTAAATGAAATTAATATCCAGTATAACTTACCCCATCCCAGGATCCCCAAGCCATTTACCATAGTTGTGTGAGAATCTGTGCCAACTACACTGTCTGGATATAGGAAGTCTTTATGCTGAACAACAATTTTTGACAAATATTCCAAGTTCACTTGATGTGCCATTCCAGTTCCAGGTGGAATTACAGAAACGTTCCTAAAAACCTTTGAACTCCACTAGAATTATTCAATAGGAAAAAAAAAAAAAAAAAAAAAAA